ACACAACAGCGCCATGCCCACAAAATACAACATTACATAGTGAGCTGCTACTTCCTGTCAAACGAAGCAATTCCTCAAAGTGGTCCAACCCCTATGGAAAGTTGTGTGGCAGCTCCTCAGACTACTAAAAATGGAACTAACATATGACCCAGCAAGTCCACCCACAGGGATCTACCTAAAGGACACTAAAACATTAATTCAAAAGGATATTTGCACCCCTATGTTTATTGCAGCACTATTTATAATAGGTAAGATTGGAAACAACCCAAATGCCCAAAAATAGATGACTGGATCAAGAAGATATAGTATATATACCCAATGGAATACTATTCAGCAATCAAAAAAGATAAACTTATAACATTTGCAGCAACATGGGTGGAGTTAGAAGGGATTATGCTCAGTGAAATAAGTCAGAAGGAAAAAGAAAAATATCAGATGGTTTCATGTATAGGAGGAATACAGGGGAATCAAATAAGGGATCAGAGAGAAAAAAATAATAAAAAACAAAACAAAAATAAACAGGCAACTATAAATCAGAAACACTCTGCAGGGGAGGGAGAGGGATCAAAACAAAGGTGGGGAGAGCACAAGGGACTATGGTGATGAAGCACAGGTGAATTGGTGGTGGAAATTCTATGGGGACTATACCTAAGAAAGCAATATTGTACAAAAATGAACAATGATGCAAATATATATATAAATAAATTATTTAAAAAGACATTTCTCTGAGATGCTTACTTGTATACATTCCAATATGACAATAAGGGTTTATCCATGTGTTAAAATGAGCTCACATACAAGTTGAAAATCTCATCTTTCTGCTACTAACTAGGTAAATCTGTTTCTTTTTCTCTTTAGAGCAGACACACTAAGATGATAAATGCTGGGCAAGAACCCTAATGCACTATCAGAGAAAACCCAAGAGGAAAAAAAAATAATTAAAAGTCCTGCTTTCTAAGGAAAGGCTTCATTTTACCTTTACTCCTAATCGACTTAGAAATGTCCTCAACTTTAGAATCAATATGATTATTTTAAAGTTGTACTGCCATAAAATATATCAAAGCAAAGTCAACATTATTTCACGAGGACAAAAAGTGACTTTCACCCACTTCACTGCCAGGTCCCACAGAGCTCACTGTGTCTGTCGACCCACTGTTAAGGCAGATGAAGAAAAGAATATGAAAATCCCACCCAAACTATCAGAAATAGTGATGCAGGGTCCAGTTAGAAGGAAGCCAAAAAGACACAACAAATTTCTAGATTTCCCCTTCTCTCATCTGTGCTGTGGAGGTGAAATCGAAGCTTCAGGTAGCAAGACACCCCAGGATTTTCCTACCTGAAAGGCGTGAATGAGAGAGTGAACTAGAACTAGAAGATGGAAGAGTATATTTACCTTCTTCGCAATGGAAAGTATATACATCATGGAGAAATACTCTAAAATGGAACAGCAAAATCAGAATTGCTTACTGAAGTCAAATATTCTACGGCTCTTCCCTTTACTAGGGAAGAAAAGTGCTTTGACAAAAGTATATATAACCCTCTGTAATACTTTCAACCTCAAGGAACAGTTCTCCCTTTCTAGTTCCCTCAATCAGAATAGAGCAGAAAACATTCAGTAGCGTTCCAAACAATTTGTGCCAATTTAGATGATTCATGTATGGCTTTCCCAGACTAAGTGGTCGACAGCCAGTGCTTTCAAGTCCACAGGCTGTGGGGCCAGACTTAATTACAGATCTGAGTCACTGTCTACAGTGGACCATCCCCCCAAGAGGCACCATTTCTTTTTGAGGTATGAAATAACCCAGTCCAGTTCTTTTTATAAAAAAAATATATAAGAACACATCATTCTACAAGAAACAAAAATATCAATTCACTGAGCTGATTTCACAAAGAAAAATTTACACCAGTCTTTTCCCTTAGAAATCAACTGTAACACTTTTTTTAAAACCACAAAATTAACACTAAATACATGATGAAATTAGATAGCTTAGATATCTTGCAATTCTTGTGTCTGCACTTGGCCTGCTGGCTTACTATCTTAAACACAGTTGTCACCCAACAGGAGAGATTTAGGCCCTCTTTTTTACAGGGTGTCATTGATTTTAGTGTTTCCATGTAATGGCTGTAATCTTCTAACATCGGTAACATTTTAAGATCCTGGATCCACAGCTGAGGAAAAAAGTGAACATGGTAACATTTAAATAAAACTGAAGGGCCCATTCTCTGAACAATAACCAAAAAGAAAAACAAAATTCATACAGCGCACAAAACCCTAAAAATTCAATTTCACATAAGATATCATTGTTTTCCTTCCTGTGACATAAATACAACATGTGAAGTGGAGGGGTGGGGAGGGAGGGGATCTTTGGGTTTTATTTTTTTATCTTTCAGATGTAAAACATTCAAACAAAATTAAGGCTCTGGGAAAAAAAGAAATCCTCTTTTGATTATTAGAAAACTTTTTCTATTTATCAGTAATTACGTTCTCAAGTTGAAAGGATTTATTTCCAGGATAGCAACATTCCCAACAAGGGGTAATATGAACCCTCAAAAGAGGAAGGATAAATTTTCCAAAAGCAGAAGTAAAATGACGGAAGAGACATTTCAGATCATAACATGAAACCATCTCCAAGGCTTGCGTTAGGGCACAAAGGCAAATGAGCCATGGCAAGTATTTCTGAGAAGCACGAGGTTCCAGGTACCGGGGTCACAGTCAGTCCAGCTGTGGAGCCTGGTCTCTAACTGTGCAGCCAAGAAAAGGAACAAACAGACTACTCAGAAGCTCAGAAGTAAATTGTGTCAGGGTGCTTCTGTCAGGCAGCTAATTGTCAGAGCACAGAAAAATGCAGATTTATCTATGTTTGCCAAAAAAAAACATTCTGACCACAGAATGAAATGCAAGAGCAACTAACATGTGCAGGTTGTTAAACGTCTCGATTATGTACACATTTCATTACAGATCACTAAGACACTTAGTAACAGATCTTCTGACAGGTGTCCGGGAAAAGATTCATAGCCTCTCTCCATGATCCTGAATTTACTCTACACTCCTTTGTGATTTTTAAGCAACAAATAAATGCAGTGTCTACAATGACTTGTAGTTTAAAAGCATGTGCAAAATCCTATGACACATACTATACTTTTGTGGTAAACGTACAAACAAATGCATGGGAATTTAGAAACCAGGATGGCAGTTTCTCAGCAGTAGAAAAAGGGAAGCGCCCTTAGGGAGGATTATCCTGGGGATTTAACAGTTGAACAGAACCAGCAAACCTTAGATTTCTCTAAAGTGCTGTGGGAGGAAGGTACATCTGGTTTTTCATTATGTTCTTCCTTACATAGTTACATAGGTGAACTACTCAGGGTAATTTTGAAGAATAAAAGTGAGCAACAGAAATCTAGTTATAAAGACTGTTAAGAAAACACCAAGAACAGGTTCACACTGCCAAACACAAGTCTTGAGGGGGCCAGCAGTGAAGACCCTTTCAGCATCAACACAGCCCAAGAGGACTGTTGATTAAAAAGCAAAATCTTGAGGGTGTGGGTAGGGGTATCTGAAAGCAGTATATTTTATTCTCATGTCTTTGAATACTAAATCACTACCTGTTAACTTCTAAGAGTGAAGAGAATGCCAGTCAACACCAACACTCCCTGCCAGTTTAATTTAACGGCATTATTTTGCCTCCTTTGCAATTACTCCCACATCCCCCAGGGAGAAACTAATGGATTACTAAAAATAAAATGGAGATTAAGTGAACCACTAAGGATGTTTTGGCTCCCAATTCACACTGGCTTAGACAAAAAGGAAATGTTTTGGCTCAAATACTTGGACTACTGGAGGAAGGACAGGCTGAGGCGCTTTCTTGTCCTCCACCCTGTGTGGCTTCTTGCTCAGGCTGAAGCCACCCTGGACCTCACACCAGCACATAACAATTTCCAGAAGAAAAAGAAAGAGAGGCAGGATCTTCCTGTAGCTATGTTTTAACTATGAGAAGACTTCTGCCAAAAATTTCTGGCAAACCTACCTTTTAGTCTTGGCTAAAATAGGATTACAGGACAGGGATTCCAGAAACCATCCTTCTGGCCAAGTTAACACTCAACACCAGATGATGGACAAGAAGGTAGCAGATTCAGGATTGCCCCTCTTTTTTTTTTTTTTTAAGATTTATTTATTTATACAAGCACTGGGTACAGTCAGCAAAGGAGGGTGAGAGAATTCGCTAGAGCCAGAGTGGGGAACAGAACATGCAGACTGATGAAATACACTGCTGAGAGGAGGGGCGGGCGGCAGGAGAGGTCTGCGCACCATGTGGGACCCTCGCCCGGTGGCCGGGGATCGAACCGGTGCTGCAGACGCTGTGGGCAGCTTCGCAACCCAGTACTCAACCACTGCCCCTCTTCAGGGTCCAACCCAAGTTCTGATTGTGTGAGTTCAATTCCTTATGGGAGTGGATGGGATACATGTGTGAATCCAGCCCTGATGTACATTCTGCTAATATTACAGGGCAATGCTGTGTTGAAACAAATCACTATCATGACACATTTGTATTAAAATGCAACAGACTCAAAAAGCAGGTGAACAAATGAACCGATCTCTTTGAGAAAAGTAGGTTTAAAAAAAAAATGCTCCTGGGGCCTCCCTGGTGGTGCAAGGGGTTAAGTCTCAGCAGTATGCAGCTACCAGCAGCCACTGCAACATGAATTTGATCCCTGGCCAGGGAGGTGACCCATATGGCACAGCAGACCTCTCCTGTCTCACAAGCTGCTCTCCTCAGCAGTGTATTTCAGTCAATCTGCCTGTTCTGCTCCCCACTTTGTCTCTGGTGAAACCTCTTACCCCCCACATCCTCTGGCCTGCACCCCAGCTCTTGTATGCATAAATAAATAAATCCTTAAAAAATATTGTTTCTATATTTTCACCATCTCAATGAGATTTTAAAGATGGAAAGTCAATAGTTTATAAAGCAGGTAGGTCATAGCAAATACAACATAGTACTTACTATATTCTTGTGCCATGACCACTGAAATTTAGATGACAGCATCCACACTAATAATGTAAAGCCTGAAAAAAAGTAAAAGAAAAAAATGTAAGAAATTTCACTAAAATAAAAGCTGCAAAATTTTGCCAAGTCTTATCTTTTTTTTCTGAAAGAAGCAAACCAGTCTTTTCAAAATAAGCAGTGACACTTAAATAAGAAATTAAAGAAAATACCTATACTATTAGAGAGTCTATAAATATTTAAGTTAAAATCATTTGCGTCTTGTGTAGGCCTTACCGCAAAAGAAAATATAAAACATAATACATTTTAATCCAGTAACACTGCCCTGCCCTGAATGATATACAAAACTGAAACCAAAATTATTAAAAAGTCCTCAAAAACCATGTAATCTAACTTGCTTTAATGCGACTTCAAGCTAGGTAAATTGGCTTCAGTTTTTCAATTTCTAGATTCATGGATCTGAGGAAAAAAATCTCGGGGAAAAAATGCACATATCTGGTTCAAATATTTAACACTGCATCTTAATAAAAATCTTGGAATACTCAGCATACCATGTAATGCTAAAGAAACTCATCCATAGACTGGGACTGTAAGACCCTGAAATGCCCTTTAATATTCAAATGTGAAAGATAAGAACTTTGTCTCTATCCAGATAACAAGACAAAAAAATAAGTAAATCAAACTAAATTACTAAGAATTTAAATCATAAAAATCTAACAATGCTGTGTGTTTCCTAAGTATGCTGTGCCTTGACAAGGCTGGGGGAAGCTACTGCCCTTGAGTCCACAAATATCAAACCTAAGTTCACTTTCCTGTGTATGGAAGATTCTATCATCTTTTCATTCATTATGGTTTGTAGCAGAGGAAAAACCTTTTCCTCTACCTTCTCGGGTTCAGTTCCTGAGGGTCTTCAAATTAAAATGACAAAGACAAATTAGTAGAAGAAAAGGCCTACATCTCTTTATTAATGCTAATATTTTTATGCCTGGGGAAATGACAGCAAGGCAGTGAACCCCCAAAGCAGCAGTTAGACCCTGGGATTTACTTGCCATTTTAACAAAGGCAATACCTTGTGGGGAAGTGATTAGGAAATGCACAGTAGATAAAAATCCTTGGATAAGATTAGTTAAGCAGACTCTTTCTCCTCTTTGTGGTAAGGGGAGAAGAGGAGCCTTTACAAATGGAAATTTATGCCTGATTTCAGGCAGAAAAGGGGAAAGCAAAGGACAATTCCTGTGTCTGCTGTTTCTGTTTCCCTCAACTCGAAATAATCCTTATGCCAAAGTAGTATATTTTGCTTTGGCATATCCTGACCTCCTTCATGTTTTTAAAAATAAAAATAAAAATAAAAGAGGGCCTCCCTGGTTAAGACGCAACCTATGAAGCAATCTGCAGCCTCTGCAGTATGAGTTCGATCCCAGGCCAGCCAGGGAGCAACCCACATGGCGCAGCAGACCTCTTCTGTCTCGCCTGCTGCTCCCTTCAGCAATGTACTTTGGTCAATCTGCCTGTTCTGTTCCCTACTCTGTCTCTGGTGAATCCTCTCTCTCTCTCTCTCTCTCTCTCTCTCTCTCTCTCTCTCTCTCTCTCACACACACACACACACACACACACACACACCACCCCCACTCCCACCCCCACGCTTCTGGCCTGTAACCCAGCTCTTGTATGCATAAGTAAATAAATCTTTAAAAAAAATAAAAATATAAGAATACCATTTAAAGGATAAAGGTGCAAGTTTTAGAATGAAGATATTTGCAATACACACACACACATGCATCAGAGGACTGGGTGAAATACGAAGAACTGATACAACGATAAGAAAAATTCAGATCAAACAATCAAATAAGGATATCAAAATAAGCTTACGAAAAGGTACTCAACCTATTCATTACCAGGGAAATACAAATTAAAACTAAAAGGCAAAAAATTATAAACTGATCAAAATGACTACAGCTAAAAAATCTGCCAACACTGAGTCTTAGCATGTGGAGCAATTCTGCTTCCAAACACTGCTGGTGGTGTTACAGGGCAGCCCCGTGAATGAGCTCAGGACATCCTTTCCCCCTAACAGTGGGACTGTGAACTGGAAAGCTATTCAACGGTATCTATAGAGCAGAACAAAAACTTCCACAGTGTACCAGGACTTCACTCCTAGGTAAATGCCTATCAAGAAGGTACACACACAGGTCCCAAAGGCACAGACAATAATATTCAAAGACACATTAGTTTTAACAGGCAAAATTCTATAACAAGTAAAACATGGAATATTCATACTGTTAGGGGGAAAGGATGTCCTGAGTTAATCCCATACAGGCTTTGTGGACCCCACCCCCACTCCAGACTAAAGCCATCAAGACATTGGGAAAGACAAATCCCATCACCACCAAAGGGAGGGTGGCTGGGACCTGAGGATGGAGTTGGGCAGCCAGGTTGGATATAAAAACCAAACACGTGGGCCTTGGGCTCTCTGGCTCGCGATCGCTCGCCTCCTGGCTTCTCGGCTCCTGGCTCGAGGCCAGCTCTCAGAGCGCCATTTTGGGATTCCTGATCGGCGGATCGGGTAGGACTCATTTAAAACTTTGTCTCCCACTTTTCTCCCAGAGCTGTACATTTCCTCATTTCCCCTTCCCTTGTAAATAAACCTTTTATTAACCTTTCACGTGTGCCTGCAGTAGAGCATTGATAAGTCCTTTTAAGCGCGCGGGTGAGAACCCACAGTCAGGCACCCCGTTTTGTATCGGGGTTGCTCTACAACAATACCATGGATTAGAAGAGGTGAGCAACTTTTTTTTTATGAGGGGCCAGACAGGAAATGTTAGGCTTTGAGGGCCATAAGGTCTTTGTGGAAGCAGCCACAGACAGTATGTCAGTGGGTGGGTGTGACTGAATTCCAACAAAATTTATTTGCAAAAACAGGCAGCCAGCCCACAGGTTGTAGCTTGTGTATTATACAGTCAGAATATCAATGAACCATAACTCATGGACAACATATATGAACCTCATAAACATAATGTTTAAGACAAAGACATCAGACACAAAAGAACAGTGATTCCATTCTCTCAAGTTCAAAAAAAGGCGCAACTACGTCGGGATAGTAGTACTTTTGAGTGTGTGTATTGTGGGCAGGGTGATGGAGACTGGTAGGGGCCAAAAGGGAATTCTGGGATTCTAGTAAAACTGAATTCACTGATTCAAGTGACAATTTCATGATTATGTTGAATTTGGGAAAATTCATCAAAATGTCCACTTATACTGCATTTGTCTTTACATGTGTTGCAACTGTATAAATGAGTAAAATATCTTGATTTTTATTATAAATTAACAACATAGTAACATAGTAATGTAAATGGCTACTTTCCTGTAACTCGTGTGCCCTCCAACACCCCAGCACCATGGCTTGCCCCTTACAAAGCACTGGCCAAAGATGCACTACTGCAGCATATTGTCGGCACTGCAGTGAAGATCAGGGAGTTTCAGGTAGGACTTTGGGAAATGTGTCTGATTAGGTAGACCACACCGAGTGGTTAGCGAAGAATGCAACACAGAGGAAGCAGAAAGCGACAGATGGGAGGACTAAGAGCTTGGCAGAAATAAGCCCCTACATTTGAACATAATCTGCTGAATAATCTATATAGACTAGAAAGTAACATAAGCAGCTTAAAAACACAATTTGGAAGGTCACCAAAATCGCCTTTTGAACAAAAGTGAAAAGTTGACTAGGGTTTTTTAAAGTCTGACAAAGGGATCTGTTTCCAGTACAATTTCGTACAATCTACAGATTAAGTAGAAAGAAAGTTTCACCTTACAAGTACGGAAGCAAACCTAAGAAATAATACAGTCTTCGCTTTCTAGGCCTGCTTATCAATTTCTATATCTCGATTTCACTCTATATCACATCGAAAACTGTAACTTCCCAGCAATCACAGTCCCTAGATCACCGGAGATGTGCCCGATCGCATCAGAGTAGGAAAGATTCAAGAGTACAAAATACCAGGGACAGTGACATCATGGACAAAACATGACAAGATTCACATTCTACTGCTAACAGCTTACATCATGAATGAAATGAAGATGATGGAGTAAAGAAAAAATAGTGAAAAGCACAGAAAGTCATTCACAGTACTATATTCACTGAATAACTGGTAAGTGCAAGTTACTGAACCAGATGCTGGAAATGCAAAGATAGAGTTACTGTCTTCAAGGAGTTCACAGGATAAAGCAGCTGACAAATCTATGCATCAACAATTTCAATTTCATGAAAGTTACATAACATTCACAAGTGCTGTGCAGTTACAGGTTAAGAGGGAAGAGCTAATGTGGGAGGAATGAGTGCAAAGAGGAGGGTAAGAAAGGAGTTTTCAGACACAGTGAGTGAGAGCTGAAAGGGGTTTTGAATGATTTACGTACAGGTGAACAGAAGCATCATCTAGGCATATGGAAAGAATGTGAAAGGAACAGAGGAAAGAATGAGTCGATCCTGTGTGAGGAGTTAAGGAGAAACTGAGGCAGCCAGAGCACGGTGCACAAGGGCGAACTAAGACTGCCAGGATGAGGGCTTGTCAGATACACTACTTTGAATAGTATCTTTCAGGAATGATGGAACCATTGGGGCAGGAACTGGGAGGAATAGAATGGAATACAAGGAGCAGAATGTGGCAAGTCTCTGACCTTTTTGTGTAGTTTTGATATGTTTCAGAAATTAAAAGTAATGGGCCTCCCCAGTGGCGCAGTGGTTGAGCGCTGGATTGCAAAGCTGCCCGCAGCCTCGGCACCACTGGTTCAGTCCCCGGCCACTGGGTGAGGGTCTCACATGGCGTGCAGATCCTGCCGTGCCCACTGCTCCCCTCAGCAGTGTACTTCATCAGTCTGCCTGTTCTGATCTCTGCTCTGGCTCTGGTGAATTCTCTCACCCTCCCCTGCTTCTGACTGTACCCAGTGCTTGTATAAATAAATAAACAAACAAACAAACAAACCAATAAATAAATAAATAAATAAATCTTAAAAAAATTAAAAGTAACAAAAATCAACCATCAATTGGAGAAACTCAAAATGAAACACA